GATAGCAAGGAGTTTATTAAACTTCACTGAAACAATCTGCAAATTTCATTAAAATTTAATAAACTATCATCTTGTCTTTATTTTTAGTTAGCACATACCTAAAACATTTAAAGCTGTAAGCTAATGATAGTTATATAAGAGCAGATGCTGCTGGTGCAATAAGCTGTACATTTGACGTCCAATGGATGGATGATTTGATTAGTCGACTATCAAAATAATCATTTGTGGCAGCCCTAAAGACAACACCTTGGACTTAATGACATTTTCTTAGATGATTTTTTGTTTTGGTTCTCTGTCATTTTATAGACTGATTATATTAATATAAACTGAAGAAGTAAAAACAACAAAACAACGATTTATACTGGGACAAGGCTCAGACTGCCACTGGTTTCAGTCTGAAACCCAGCTTCAGCTTCTTAACCAGTAACTCTTGTCCCACCCTGCTGCTAAAAGATGGAGAAGTAACCTCTTTCAATGCATCCTTCCCAATCCCAAAACACACTGATTGGCTGAACCCAGATGCAGAGACAATGAATAGCCTTGCAATATTCACCACAAGATCACGAGCTCTACACCTTCACAGGAGCTCTGCTAACAAGCAGGTTCCAAAACAGGAACCCCAGACAGAGGAAGTGCTTTGGTTTCCACACACCTGCCAGCACAATTCATTGTGACAGCTGAATAGAGTCAGCCAAGGAATACAGCATAAATTAGAATCTGCTTGCATATACATCGGTCTCCGCTTGGAGATTAAAGAGGGCTTTTTTGTTAGATGTGGTCTTATCCAAAGGTAGACATACACACTCGCAGGTTACTCTGGTAATAAATCCTTGAAACCAGACTCCCAGATTATTTTGTTAGAGAATGTCACAAGGCAAGCGCTGCATTACCTCTGACTGGAAGCTCTGGTTACGGAGTCATGACTCAACCAAAATTACAACCTTATAGGATGTGGCTGGAAACAACCGTAGTAAAAAGGCTGAAAAAATGTGAAGCACTGAGGCAAGCACTGGCTTTGAGCTGAGCTCCAGGAATGAAAAACATGTATAGACTGCACTGATAATAAGCTGAACGCTGGAACACTCAGTTTAGTCTAGTGGAAGCTGCGTAATATTCTGGTGCATCTCTTTCTTTACAACTAATGAAGACACAGTACTTCTGACATAGCCAACAGAGCAAATGCTACCTCCCGCTTTCACATTAGCAAGCAATAGAAAAGACATTTCGATTATAGGATAAGATGCTCGTCTGTGGCTGACCAAAAATCTCACCTCTACACTATGGAAAGTTAATACTAACATTCATATCATAAAATCTGATTGAGAAATGTGCTATTAAAAAAATTAAATACGGCTTATTTTCCTTTTTACATGATGTATCCTTTTCGTTTTAGTCCTCTGTTCATATTTTGACTTCACGCTCTCATGTTGATGGGTTGGATCGGTTAATTTAATTTAAAAATACAGATAAAGCAGGCAATCTGATTGAAACGATTTGCAAAATCACTCAAAATAGTCGCATTTACTACATATAAAACATCCACGACAGCAGACGTAGCTTCTTACAGTTCATATGGTCTGTTGTGATTTACATAAACCCTTTTGTTTGCTTGTACTTAGTAAGAATCAGGTTATTCAAATAAAAACAAAAGGTTTTAAACTGTAGGGAGAGAGATGCTAAAAGGGTTTCAACACGAGCTGCCCGGCTGGAATAGGCAAGCAAACCACATCAGTTTTATTACAGGGTCAGGCAGTTCTGTATTAGATTAGAGGAAGACTATAAAACTGATACAAAAAACACACCCATACCCGGTATTTTCCAGTGTTCGAGAGCTCGCTAATGTCAGTTTTTGTCTTCTTTGGTTAAAAACCGTGTCTCCGTGAGAAGAATAAAGGGATAATTTAATCCACTTTGACGTAAATTTAGTTTAAGAGGAATCTGAGAAACATAAGTTACTAGTTTGCTGCATTTGTCACTGAACTGGAAGCCAGTTTCCTGCAGAGCACGCAGATGCTACAATCAGAGGCTGTTAAAACAGAGACTCAACAAGCAATTACTTCCTGTAAATAAAGCACAAATGGTACAGTATGAGTCACGCTTCTGCTGACGTTGGCCTCCATCACTTGTTGAGTCTCTAAATTTAAGAAACATGACAACCTTGAGATACTGGGGGGAGATAAACAGCTTTTGAGACTCTCACCAAGGATAATGTAACGACAACAGTGTTTGCTGCTACTGTTTTGTGCATAATGTGCTGTATGCAGCCGAAATGAATGCATTTTAGATGGAGTATTAAAATTAAATCTGCAGAGTTTCAGCCTTTGTAACACAATGCTATTCCCAGTTCTCTCCTGGTTTATCTGCTTAACCATCTGTGTGACGGATGTAGACAAAGGTAAATAGCTTTTACACTGTAGACACACTTTATTAATGAAGCAAGACAAAGATCATTTGTAAACTCAGAAATTAACCCTTAGATGATTTGAATGCTTTTAATGTGTGTATGTTTTTGTTTTTTTTAAGTTTACATATTTTTGGAAATGCATGTGCACAATAGGAATTATTTAATAAAAGGAAACATCATTTAGTGCAGCTCGTGGTCAGTGTGTATTAACCTTGCGATCCATGGGGATCAACTTAATGTGGTTTACATTCAGCAGCCTGCAGCACCTGATTAGCAAGTTAGAGTGCATAATTGAAAAGAGTGCATACTTTGCAAAATCCAATGTGTTTTAAATGGCAAAGGTAACATGCTCGTCTTAGTAGGTACAATAATCACCATGTGGAGCAGATTAGCAAGCATGCAAGCTAACTCTTTCTGAATAACCAAAAGAAAATGCAAATCACAAATAAGGCTGATGGCACTGGCAGAAAATTCTGACCTTTACTTGGCTTGCTATCATATTGTGGTTCATAACTTAAATCCTTCACAAATCAATGACATTCAACTGACCGTCGGACATTACGATTCTGCTAACATGGCTAAAACATCTGACCGGTGTCAGTGTTTCTCAATAACAAGAATTCAATTTGGTATCTACTTTTGATACATTTCTCCATACCTGTGCCAAAATTCGACTTCAATACCTCAACATAAGCACATAAACGAAGACTACTGCAGTAACTATTACAGTCACTCACCCATTGATCATACTGAGCAGCCCCTCCATCAGGTGGGCCAGGTAAGAGATCTGGGCGTTCTCATCTGGGAATACAGGCCCGTGCATGGAGGCCAGCTGGGCCAGGCACTGAAGGGAATCCTGGGCCATGTCAGAGTCCTCTCGAATCTTCCTGTGTACCTGAACAAGAGGAGAATTTCTTTTTATCATTGTTTTTAAAGTAGAAAAGCAGAGCCTTTGCATAAAAAGGACAGAACCTCTACAATAATCAGTCCACAATGAAGCAGTGAGTGCTCTGGATAATGAAGTACTCCTGTACAGCAAAAGTACGGAAAACTGCTGAACACCGTCTGTCAGCTTTAACAATTTAGTGAAGAAAAGATGATCTTTTTCATCAGTCTTCATCAGCCAAAAGAAAACAAAAGTTTCTTTTGGACTATACACATGATCAAATATTAGGATAACCTAGAGAACAACAATCTTGAGCAGCGCTTGAACACACTTGACTCTGCCCATATGGAAAAGAAATAGAAAAAACTTATAAAAGACTTGCATCAGATGTGGGCTACTTCATACAGTGAATCATATAATGCTTATATGATTTACTCATGAAAGTGGCCACTTTCATATATTGTTTTAGGAAGTATCCAAAACATACAAGTTTCATTTATATAATTTTCTAGGGATCTTATATCTGTTTTCACTCTTGTATGCTTTTCATACAAGTTTCACACAAGACAGATACAAACTTTATAAGATTTATATAAATCTTTTCCATATGGGTGGGCTTGGCAAAACCCATTAGTCTGATTTTCTCTTTCTTTTAACTTAGGAATGACAGTCCAATTATTCAAAAGTCATTGCAAATTACTGTGAAATTATTTGTCACCTAAATTTCAACAATATTATTTATTTAAATTATTATTATTATGTTCATCGTCAGACCTTTCTGGCAGGTTCAAGAACAAAAGCCCACGATAAGTGTCTGACCAGTAAAATGTAGTCTGTTGCTAATAACAAACATAACCAACCATCCCAGGCAAGATTGTTGTGGCACAACCAAGTGACCTGTAAATATACTGACCTGTAATATTTTCATAAAAGACGAGTTTTGATAGCAGCACGCAGCATTCATGAATACTTAGACTGACAGTTCACATCCCCTACGGACCATTTTCTTAGATATTTTTTAATGACAGCACTATTGACAATATGTCTTACCCATCAGACGTTTAATGATAATGATTTTTGAAATAATATCTAATCAATGTGTGACTGTTATGTCATAATTAAACACTGCCCCTGGCATTCTGCATTTTGATAAGTTTTTATTTCCATTTATTCTTAAAATTAAACTGCAACGTAACAAATACCACTTTGAAATAGAAATGTCCCACATCAAGAATGAAAAGGTGAACCTGCCTCATCCCCAAAAGCAAAAAAAAACAAAAAAAACAAAAACATACCAGCTGATACCCTGCAGGATTTATACTCACTGGTGTAATCCCACTACACAGCACACTGAAGCGTCGTGAAATGACGAATTGATTGTGATCTGTCACTGTGACCCAGGTCTCAAACAAACAATGGCTGAGCAGCCTCAATCAAAATAGAAGAGGAAGAAACAGACTCCCGATGGGGGAGAAAAACAACGAAAACTAAACTGGATGATTCGGTCTCAGTTGTGAGCGTCCACTCAGTAGTGTGATTCGAGGGTTGGTTTGTTGTTTAAGGTCACACTTCAGCAAGAGAAAAAGCATTGTTGGATTTGACTGTGCATGCAGACAGGCAAGTGTATTGCAAAGCAGCAGCAGTAAAAGCTCTGAAAGTCATCACAGCCTCTCAGCAACATGTGTTTCCACTATGTGCACGTCTGGAGCTCAAATTCCTTCTTCCTGTGCGCTGTGGCTCTCTTCTCAGCCGGTCCGGGCTCTTTTCCTTTTTCTTCTTCTTCTCCGGTCTCCTCAACTGTCATCCTCTTAAATCCAGAGAGAGTGCTCCTTCATCAACTCCACACTCTTAAACCAACACATGGCCCCATCGCTGAGGCAATCAAACTTTCAACCTCCCTCTCTCCTTTTGCTGGTGCTTCCTCCTCCTCCCCTCAAATGTTCTCCCCTTCTTGCTTCCCCCCTAAATTCTTTATCGCCCCTTCTCCCCGCTCCTCCTCTCTTCTCTTCCCTACAGCTGTGGTGTCCGCTTTGTCGTAAGCCGCGCTGCTGGGAAGAGATCTCAGATGCTAACGTAGCATAACGTTAGTCCTCTCCGTCGCTGCCCTCTTCCAGAGCATGAAGTCATCCTCTGGAAGCGCTCGGCGAGAGGACAGGGGAGGAGGCGAGAGGGGCAACTGGTGAGCGAGCGAGAGAGAAAGAGGGAGGGGTGTAAGAGGCAGACCCAAGCGAGACCCAAGGACTGAACAGCGCGAGCTCTGAAAAAGCAGCTGCACCGGCGAGTGAACCATGCGATGCCAGTAATGTCAGTCGCCTCGAGTCTGACTATAAGTAGAGATACTCAGCGAGCACGTGCGAGTGAGTGTGTGTGTCTGGGGGGAGTGGATGAAAGCAAGGAGAGCTTTCTGGCACAGGTGATTTTCTTTATTTTGAGGAATATAAAAACACCCCTTATCAGTATATTAGGGATAGCTCGCTATTTAAACAAATCTTAGCCAGTTTAATAAAAACTCTATTCCAAAACAAAAGATCTTCTTTCAAAAGTTAAGTTTGTTCACATCATTTTAAATGGGAACAGGCTATATAATAAACTGATAATCAACCTCCATCCTCCTGAATTTCTGTGGATCCAGCATTTGGCATCTTCTGTTAGTGAGTTCTCATTCCAATTTAATAAGCTCCAAGGCTATGAGAATCTGTTATTGAAGCATTGCATTCCTCCTTGCTCCGTCTTCGTCCTTTAACTTCAAATGTTGTTTAAAAGAAAATGAAAACATCCCAGGGAGGTAAACCGGGCAAACGAAGCAGAGATAAGCAAAGATTTGATTTGTTGTGGCCAAAATCCCCCGGCACCTTCATACTTCAATTAACTGAATTGGAAATCGCCATGATTTGGATTGTGTTAACAATCCAATTCTGGGTAACAGATTTATGGTTCACGACTCACAAATCAAACCAGGAAAAAATAAATAAATAAATAAATGCGCTCATGACACCTTTGGCCTTGAAATATGCAGATTCTTCCTCTGAAAACTGCTCTTTTGCCATTTGTCTGTAGCTGGGGACCCAGCTCTCATTGCTAATAATGGTCCTCGACATGAAAGCGGGGTCATTTTGACAAAGAACTTTGTGCCTGATGCATTTTCAGGTCTATTTTAAATTTGCAGACAGGAAGTACAAAAAGAAATTGAATTTTAAGGAGCACTAATACAGTCCAGAGGTAGACAAGGAGACGACCCTCAAGGGACTATTAGACAAATTTAAATCAGGTATCATTTTTATACTCAGCTTTAGAAAACTACTTTATGTTACGAAATGGGAGGGTGTAATAACACTAATAATCCTTGATTATTCCATCACAAATTAAGCACATAAAACATCTCAAGTTGATTCAAAGTCTTGAACTTTGTTTGGTTGTTTCTCCAACACTCTAGGGGCAAATCAATCTGGCAGATATCTTAAAAATTTGATGTTCACTGATCAACTCGCCAACATAAAAAGGCCTTAAAAAAGACCATAGAAGACAACTATAGGAGATGATTGCAAATTCCTTCCTCGGTTAAGAAAAAAAACCCTTAACAAGAGCTAGCCAAGTCGAGAACACTCTGCAGGAGTATTAAGGTCCACAATAAAGAGACGTCTACATGACTAGAAATTCAGAGGAGTTACAAAGTGCAATCCATTGGTTACACTCATGAACAAGGACGGCAGATTAAATATCACTAGAGAACATGTAAAAGAGGCTGAAGAGCTCTGAAAAATTCTTTCAACAGATGAAACCAAGATCAAGATGTACCAGAATGATGGGAACCAAAAAGTTAGAAGGAGGAGAGAAACAGGTCTAGATCCAAAGTACAGCACATCATCTGTCAAACACGGTGAAATCAGTGTTATGTGGCAGGGGAATGTATGGCTGTAAGGTAGGGCTGTTCGATATAACGATATATATCGGATGACGATATAAAAACGTCTATCGTTTCATTTTACGCTATCGTTTGTTTCGTGGTGTCACAAAATAAACTGTTTATGGCAATATTTTTTCATGGTTTTGATGGTCACTGTAGTGGTTATATTAAGTTCTCTCTTTGTCTTATATTTAATATAACCACACTAGGGACGGACAAGCGCTTGTTTTTATGCGTTGTGGTTAGCAACAACGACGGTAACACCATCGCGTGTCCGCTTGTCTATGTTCCACATAAACCTTTCACAATAAAGCTCAAGATCCTGTTGAGCCTTTTCAAAATAAACTGAATCACGTGAAAGAGCAGATTATTTACGGATGAGAAGTAAAAAAGAGACGCCAGGTGCTCAAAAATAAACCTTAGACTCAAACGTTAGAACAGGCTTTTCCCCGCAGCACGCCGTGTAATAAATACAAAGAAAACGGCGGCTGTTACAACTTATGTCTAAAAATGTATCGTTTCATGCATCGGTTAAAACACTCGACTCGAGCTACATGACGCGCAGCTGGAAACACTTCACGCAAGTCGAGCTGCCCGAGATTCACAGAATTTACAGAAAATGTTACATTTTTGTGATTTATATCGTTATCAGGACGATAGATGTCTTATATCGGGATATGAGATTTTGGTCATATCGCACAGCCCTAACTGTAAGGAGAACTGGACCACTACTCTTTATTGAAGATGTGACTGCTCATAGACGTGTACAGGGCTATACTCTGCTCAGATTCAGTCAAATGCTGCAAAACTGACCACATGATAATAAGATTAAACGATAACTGATGAAACTAATCTATCAAACATCCAATAAAAGTAACACTGTTAAAATATATTGTTATATAAAGCTTGTTGCTGATCACTAGCACGACTGGTTTCTAGATTTATCAAATATGAAATCCTGACTGCAATACTCCCTGTTTACTTGACTTTCATTAGAGCAGCTCTCATTAGATTAAATAGGATTCCAACTCCAAAACACACGCTTTTCAGTGTATATCAAAGTACCACGCTTCAACACCTGACACTATCGTAGATAAATTATGTA